ATAAAAGTCCAAGTAAGAGTGAAGTACAGTAAGGCAAACCGCCATGCTATTTAAAAATTTAATAAAACTAAGTATTTTTCATTTTTTTTATTTGTAATAAATATTTTGATAAGAGGAAATTATGAATAAAATATACATTCCTATCACGTGAGCAAGATATTTTAATATTAAATATTGAAATCTAAAAGATGATTATTATAGTGAAATAATATTCTCTATAAATTCAATCAAAATCTGTGTCTGATAAACATGATTAAAATACACATTACAATCACAAAGAACTTGTTAATGTATTATTGAAACAAGGGAAATCTAATAAATTTATAGGCAAACTTATATTCTATGTAAATTCAAACAAATTCTGTATCTATATGTATTATTTGTATTAAATCCGGTGAAATTAGGTACAAAAACATATGTTTGATCATAATACACATTCTTATCGCAATAACTAGAACATTTATTAATAATAGTCCAAGTCAGACAGATTTTTAGTATAGGCAAACCACTATACTATTCAAATTTTAAACAAACTATATATTTTTAATTTTTTTATATGGTGAAATTAAATAATTGACACATGTCTTCTAAATAATATACACATAACAATCACAGCAAACTAGAAAATTTAATATTAAAATTAGAAATCTAAAAGATGTTTTTTAAAGGCAAACTAAAATTCTCCAAAATTTCATACAAAAAATTGTGTCTTTATGCATTTAACTTGTATCAAATTTAATAAAATTTTATACCAAAACATGTATCTGATCATTAGACACATTACAATAGAGATTTTAAATGCAACATAATAGCTATGTAAAATAAACCAAAACACTGAATGCGTTTAAAAGTATTTAATTTGTAACAAATATTATGAAATTATGTAGCAAAAGTATGTTTAATATTAAAAGTCAAAGTCAGAAGGATGATGAAAGCAAAATGCCTTTCAATTTCAACAAACTATGTGCTTTCAAAATTTTTGATTTGTATCAAATATCGTGAAATTAAATATGACACATATATGATTAGAATACACTTTACTATCACAAAGGTCAAGTCATCATAATTCAATATTAAAAATTGAAATCTAAAGGATGATTATAATAGAAAAACTAATATAATATATAAATTCAAACAAAAACTGTGTCAATATGTATTTAATTTGTATAAAATATGGTGAAATTATACATTAGAAAGTTACTGATCATATTAAAAATTACTACTACACAATTTTAGATTATCCATTATTATCAGACAAAGTCAGAGTGATGTTTAATAAGACTAACCGCTATGCTATTCAAAATTAATCGAATTATGTATTTTAAAAGTTTTTAATTTGTATTAAATATTTCGATAACAGACATTTACGATTAAAATACGCATTATTACCACATGAGCCAGACATTTTAATATAAAAAGTTGAAATCTAATTTCTTTCCACTATTCGGTTTCCAATCCATTGTACCAATACGAGAGTCTCGCATACTTTTGTGCCGTGGATCTTCTAAAATATTAGAACCATGTGAGACAATTATAATTTGGTCGCATGAGTGTTATAGCTATAATTTTTTGATATATAAAATTATAATTAATATACAATACTCACTAGTGTTTGATCATTTACGTATCGAATTCTTGTTTCGTTTCATCTTAGATATCACCAGAGAGTCCTTTTCACTTTTGGTGTCTGTTATTCAAAACCGATTCGCCTAAAATAATAATTATTTATATTATCTATTTTGACACCACTATATTACTTTTAAATATATGTATTTATATTAATTGACACTTGACAATATCTAGGAACTGTATAACACTGTATCCTAAATGAAAATGATTGTAGGGAAGTCTCAAAGTCATTGGCAAAACGAAAGGCGCTACAAATATATATGGATAGAGGTCAACTGATACTTTTGAACAGCAACTAGGAAGAATAGAACCATTAAAACATTATGATCTATGATAGAAAATAATGAAAAATTAATATAGGTAGGTCATAAACGCATACTATTATAATCATTACATTCATTAAATATGTACCGATTAGAATATTATAATTATTAAATTTGTATTTATTAAACAAAAATTTTTAATTTCTAACAACTTGCTAGAAACGCGTCACGTAACTGACAGCCCGGGACATTATCGCTGATAACAGAAAGACGTTTGCATTTCCTGAAATCACAAAAATATTGTCTATAATGTTAACATTACCAGTGACAACTGCATCAAGTGAACGTTTCTTTCTTCACCAAAATTGATAAACAATTTCTTGAGGACATTAATTGGTGCTGAAAGATTAAATGATTTAATGGTTCTTAGAATTAAAACTGAAGTAGCAAAACAAATCAATTTGAATTATGCAATTGGTGATTTTACAAAAATGAAAGACAGGAGATACCTATTATGCCGATAGTAAACATTAATTAATTATTTTTGATAATATGTATTATTATTATGTTATTATTTTTTTATCAAAATATTTATATTTTTGGTTTATATTAAATAATTTATGTGCGACTAAAGATTTCAGGATTTATTATTAAAATAATCTATGTACCAACTTAGGATTCATTAGGTATAAAATATTGGTATAATATTAGATCATTAGACTGAAAATACATAGTTTAATTTCCGAGCGCAACGAGAACAATTTTTTTTGTAATAACTACCTATAATAGATTATATATTGACCGGTTAAACATTTTTTTGGCCTGCCTAGTTGTTAGCATACCTTTCAAAAAGTTTAACCACTGGTTAATATCATTTTTTAAAATAAACAAAATTAATAATTTATAACAAAAATTTAAAATTGTTTTTAGAATTCAATTAAAACCATATAGCTATTTTTTTATATTATGTTAATGTCTTCTAACAGTAAACGCAAAGCTTCTTGATTCTATACAAAATATTATCTACATACTTTAACACCTTACCCTAAATATTTTTTTTTGCTTTAAATTAATTAATAATAAAATATTGATAATTTTCCAAATTATCCAATAACTATTACCTATTCCTGGTTTTAATATTATATGACCTTAAATATTGATATTCGGTACAAAAAAATGTTTATTAGTTAAACCATTAATTGAGATGTGTATAGTTTAAATATTTAATAATCATGTAAAGTAAAATAGGAATACACAGTATACACTGTACATTATAATATAAGTTCAATAAAATTATTTATTATAATTTATGAAATTATAGAAAATGCAGTCACTCTTTATATCATACTAATTTAAAAAGTAGATTAACCTTTTTGAACTAAATTAAATTAATATTTTTTTTCTATATTAACTTTTTACCGAGTTTAATATAATAATTTAAGAACTGTTAACTTCTAACTTATCAATGTTGTATTCTCTGAACTTAACTCGAGTTAATTGCCCACATTTGAATAATACAGTGTTTATTTTAAATTAAAACAAAAATTATACATATAATAGGTATAAAATACATTTTTAAAAATGAGTTGATACTGAGATTGCACGTGTCACTGTTCAAGGTGGAAGTTGGGAAGGTAGGATATATAATTATTTTAATTATATTTGTGAGCAACAATAAACCATTACAAACAAAATACAATTCTGAGTAAAGTTTGGTTACACGTATTTTGAAATGTGTTATATCAGTTATTTTTATCAAAATTTGATATTAAAATGTTTATAAAAAAAAAATTATATATTAAGCATTTTAGCTATGTCACATAAATCAAAAAACAAATTACCCCATATAATTCCATGTTTTTAGAGAAAACTGAATTCTCAGTAGGGAAACACAGTTCAATAGACAATTTAATAGCAGACAGTTTTACAAAAGAATTATGTGGATCATATTTCTTGGCAAAAATTGATATTACGACCCAGGGTCTAGTTTGATGCCAATCTAATCGACAGTTTGCTTGTCCCAGAGTTTTCTAAAAAAAAAAAAAAAAAACCAATAAAAACTTGTCTAAACACATAACAAAATATCAAACATTTTTACTTTGATCCAACAATGTTCTCCTTCAGTACATCCAACTTGTTCTAAAAACGCATTAAAATCTGATGTCTTTTTATTGCAACAAGACCAATATTTCATACCCTCATGAAATATTGGAACGCCAGAATGAAATTTACACAAATTATAGTTATATCCAGCACCTTCATAAGCCTAAAACAATATGGCCAAGTTTATTATGAGCAATTTGACATTACTATTGATAAAAATAAACAAATAAAACTTGCTTGCATCCACTGTTTTTACACATAGTGCCCACTGGTATGTCAGTGGAATCGTTTGAGTCAGTTCCGTTCGTACTGCTAATACTAGTAGCAGCCAATTGTTGTACAAGAGTAGAAGAAATTTTCGGGATAATGTTTTTTAACGGTAAATGAGCCGGTGGTCTTGGCAATAATATTGGTTTCGGAGCTTGATACTCAATGATTTCGTCTATGGTGTTCTTATCTGGCACATACTTTTCAGGTTCTTTTGGTTTTGTATTACTGTGGCAGCCATTCGTGCAACCCTAAATTCATATGTATGAGAAGTATAAATATATAAATATGTTCAAAATGAGCAAGTTACCTTTATATTAAGAAATTCGGTGAAATCGGTACATTTCTTTTTACAGCACGACCATCCTTTATAAGCATCGTGAAAAAAAGGTTCACCAGGATGAAATAAACAACTACCTATAGTTGTACAATATAACCAAATTATTATCAATTTAAAAATATTTTCTACGGATGTTATCTTAATATTTAATACCTATGTAATTGTTTATGAATAATAAATCTAGCTCTTATTCTTTAACTACAACTTAATTTTGACTTTGAATTTTATAATTAATATCATAGATAATACAACAAATATTGGGGTATTTAATATATACTTCAAATGTTTAAGTTACAGAATTACCTAATACTGTTTAGTTTAATATTAATGTATTCACGAATGTAAATAAATTAAATTAAAAAACTAACAAACTTAGTAGAGAACGATACAAATGGATACTGGCCAACTTAGTGAAAGGTTTTAGCACCACGATCAATAATTACATCATAATTATTACTAATCGAAAAGTAAATAAAATAATGACTAAATATTATCCAAAACTAATATTAACAAATATAATAATAAAATTAATACTATTATACCTTCTGGGTTATTATCAGGATCAAACTTAACAGCACATCCACGGTTATAGCATAATAGCAAATTTGCATCGTCACACATTTTATGAAATTAATATTCTACAAAATCGTCAGCAAGTTATGATGAACGACAATAACAATATTATTTAACTCCGTTGAACACGTGAATACACTATACAAAATACTATTGATCAAATCTGAAAATATATTAAATAACTAGATAACGTAGCCTATCATGGATCGCAAATCACAATAATGAATGATAAGATTTTAATCTTCAAAGAACATATCAAACCAGTGTTACCAAGACAATAGACCGTTTCTCTTTTTGATTATGGAAATAAACAATAAAATACAAAAATATAAAATATATCTACACTTATTTTAAATTAAATACGAATTTTATTTTTTAGATACTGAATGGAGTGAAGTAGTTAAGAAGCATATGATTTTACAAAGATGTTTAATTTTTTTTTTTCTGTAGACAACTTTTCTACCAACAATTTTAAAACACTTTTAATGATAACAATTTTCCTAAAAGGAAATTTCACATGATAGGTACTTTAAAAAGGTCGTTTACCGATTTTTTTTAAGCCAAAGTAAAAAACTAGGAAAAAACAGGAAAACCAGGAAATACGGTACAACATTCAAAAAAATTACAGAGCCTATTTAATTATTTTACTATATGACATAAATTATTGACAAAGCATCATTATCATCTGATCTCCACTCAGAATCGTTTTTTTTATAAGCAATGGTTTATTGTTGCTTACAGGTATACATTAAGTTACCAATAACAGAGGCTGCACCCGTCCCCATTATCCTAGGGTGTCTCATTTATAGTGTGATACAAGATAATTAGCATATAATAAAAAAAAAACAGTAGGTACTGAACTAATTATTGCATATATAATACAGATGTTATAAGTCAAATTAATATAATACCGTAACCGTTGAAAATAAAATGAACAAAATAAATAATTATACTTTTTTGTTTAAAACATTATTTCAAGTTTAAACTAACAATATGATAACTTAACAACTAAAAACAATACACAATAACTTCATATTTCATTTTGTGAGTAATAATAAATACTATTGATCATTTTCTTCCGCAATTTCTGAAAATATATAATAGCATAATATTTAATAATAATCACTTTTCACAAAATGTTATAGCCAAAAACAATGATTGTAAATTTACCTATTTCCAGTAGACTTTAAATGCATTACATCCATTGTTTGCATAAATTGTTCATCCAAATTATCATGACTAAATATAAGTAAATAATAGAATAATAATTAATAATACAACTGATACAACTATAGTATGTCACAGTATCTCTGGTTTATGAGATGTGACACTTTGATATATTAAATATTGATTCCAATTTATATGTCCTCTATCTGATTTTTCAATATATATATTTTCATATATTAACCTTAAACTTAATTCTATATCATAGAAAGCATATTAAGTAATAAATGATGCTAAATAATTTATTTTACTAAATTTTAAATAAATAAAATTTTAAATTTTCGTATTATTAACAAGACAGTATGTTTTACAAAATATTCCTTTTTTTTTTGTAACACACATGACATAATTTTTATAAAATTAAACAGGCCGCAAGATTTGTGAAATAGCTCAGCAACCGGTTTGCTAAAAAGCAACTCAACAATTTCCTGAAATGATATAATATTATTTTACTTAAAATTATTTAAATGTATATAACGCCATATAAAATACTTATATTCGTTAGATTTAATATCCATGATGAACACAATTTTTTTTTTAAGACCTATCTACTGTTTTTAAAAATAAATGTTCCAAAGGAGACTAACTGAAAGAATTTTAGAAATACCAATTGTCCTACATATCAGGGGATGAAACCATTTTAATATGGTACTATTCCAAAAATCTCAAAACAGGGTTGGAGGGAGATGCGTAAGGTTGGCCTCTATGAGAGATTATTGTCTGTAGTGTATGAAACGAAATATAGGTCATATGTGTAATAAAATATATATATGTATATATATAAGAAATATTTACTGAATTACTGTCAAAAATTAGTTTTAAAATCCCTGCTTTTGAATAAAGAAATAAATCTAATTTTCATGTACCCTTTGGCAATAAGAATAAAATACGTAAATAATCGAAAAATAATAGTTCGAATAGTGCAGTTAAACCAATATTCTGGCTAATGTTTTTTTTTTTTTTTTGAAATAATTGATTGCGCATAGTTTTGACAGTAGTAATTAACTAAATGGAATATTTTAAACAAGTTTATAACTTTTTACAGAATAATTGAAATATAGTTTTCAACTTATGATTGTTTTGCAGGCTTTGTAATAATAACATTAATATTGTATTAGTACTGTCTAATTTTTCAAATTATTTACATGTTTATCGTTCTAGGACAGTTTTATTTTGTCAGACTCTATTGCATAATATGATGAATTACAAAAAAAAAAAAGACAATCATTTGATAATAGTATACACTTTTTACAACTTTGTGGCACACAGCTCAAACATTAACTTATGTTTATTAAATAAAAAATATTAAACAATAATTTGTTATAGTAATTAATGGTCGGACTGAAGAAAACAGAATATTTATTTTATTAATTTATTAATTTCCAATCAGCTATTATTATAAATTTTTGTAATTTTTAATTATTTTTTCCAGATAATTCCTGACCCTGTTAAGAAAAAAGAATATTTTGACAGACTGATCTAACTGGACGAACTGTAGTCCATCATCACCTATCTCAATTGCTGAATTTTCACAAAGCATCACAAAGACACATTAATATTATTATTTTTGTACAAACAATATTAATTATTATCTATGATGTATCTTCTAAGTTAATTTATTAAACAATATTTTTCTATTTTCGAAGAATTCATTATTTATTTGTGATTTCCCTATTTGCTGAAAACTCAATAATATTTGTCTGTCAAAGTGGCAAGAAAACCATACAAGAAAAAAATATATACACTTATAATATTACACAATATTGTAAAAAAACATGAGACATTTATTAAGTTTAACACAAAAAAAATTTAACTATTTACAAGATAATATAGCATTCGTAATGTCTATATAAAACAACATAGTAAAATATAGCGAATAAAATAAAACACAGTAAATATCATATTAATTTTAATGCTATATCAACTGTTTTTTTTTATGCGCCTAACACATTTATAATAAAAAGTCGGATGATAAAAATTAAACTACAATATGTAACATGCACACATACACAAAATACATGAAAATAGAAAAAATAATATTTTTGTATATAACACTTTATATTGTATAAATATTATATTTTGTGAACCTCACTATGGCTATGACAAGACACAAATCGGTTTTTAAAAAATTGTACACACAAAAATATTTCCTAAAATCGTTTTTATGTATTATTAATTAAAAATTTAAATTGATACGAGGCGGGATTTTTTTATTTACAAAAATCGTGGCTAAAATAAAAAATTAGTCCTAACTATCAACGACGTCTCCGTAGACTATTCATAAAACGTAATAGTCGCGGGACAAGGGCGTTGTACAATTATTTTNGATAATATAGCATTCGTAATGTCTATATAAAACAACATAGTAAAATATAGCGAATAAAATAAAACACAGTAAATATCATATTAATTTTAATGCTATATCAACTGTTTTTTTTTATGCGCCTAACACATCTATAATAAAAAGTCGGATGATAAAAATCAAACTACAATATGTAACATGCACACATACACAAAATACATGAAAATAGAAAAATTAATATTTTTATATATAACATTTTATATTGAATAAATATTATATTATGTGAATTCGTTTTGATTTGTGAACCTCACTATGGCTATGACAAGACACAAATCGGTTTTTAAAAAACTGTTTTATTAAAAATTGTACACACAAAAATATTTCCTAAAGTCGTTTTTATGTATTATTAGTTAAAAATTTAAATTGGTACGAGGCGGGATTTTTTTATTTACAAAAATCGTGGCTAAAATAAAAAATTAGTCCTAACTTTCAACGACGTCTCCGTAGACTATTCATAAAACGTAATAGTCGCGGGACAAGGGCGTTGTACAATTATTTTTTTTCCCTGTACATTTTACAATTAAAACGATAATAAATAATATACAAAATACACAGGCGGATTTCCGAACCTTGTTGTGTTTTTTACAACAATTATTTGCCACTAAACATCTTCAATTAAATAATAAAGTAAACTCCATCGAAATTGCATGGGTTTTAAATTTTATAAGCAACAAAGCACGGCGATTAGTTATTCGTTGATTTCACTGTTGTAGTTTTTTTTTTTTATATATATATAGGTACTTAAAAAATGACAATCCAAAATTTGCTCTCTTTATTCTTTAAGCACTACCTACGAATCCGCCAATTCAATAATGTATTACACTAAGACTGACACTAAAAATTATTACTATAATAATACACTGAAAAATAATCGATAAAAAAAAGCTTCGATTGGTATGAGATCAGAGTGATGGAGAAAGTTTTCTAGTAACCAAAAAGTACGAGAAATTATAAACAAAAAATTACATCACAATGACGATCGCAAAAGATCGTCCAAAGGATTAGGTCGGTTGGTGGAGGTAAGACCCGGATTAAGGGGAAGGGGCAAGTAGGCTTATGCCTAAGACCTCCGAGTAAGAAAATCGGTGTAGCTCTTTATAACCTAACCTACACAACGTTTAAATAAATTTATATTATATTTAAAGTATATAAATAAACAAATTTTTACTTAATAGCGACCGTGTTTCTTTTCATTAATTTGTGGTACCTGAAATCCGGTTCTGGAAAGGGCTTGGGTAAAAACGTGTTTTGTCTCGTGAAATTCATTCCAGGGAGGATTCGTCGATTATATAGGACCATTGATTGGACCAATGAATCAACAAGAATCAAATAACTCGTTATCACTTATAAATACGTCACGAGTGTATATTATAAATATAAAAAAACATTAATTTTAATTTTATTTAAAACCAAAACTTATTATTAGTAATAATATACTGCAACATTTATAGCGATGGATTCCAAATTAAAGAATACTAATATTTCATTTTGTGAGTAATAATAAATACTATTGAATGGTTTGTTCGTGATTAATAAACTTGTCCAAGTAATTTATCTTGGAGTCAACTGCGGTCATAAGAATTGCATTTCGCCACCTGTTGTCACTCCCAGAATATGGGTTGGTTCTGGTCTTTGAGAGACACCGGAGGCTTAAAGGTAAACGATTAATTATTATTATTGAGTTATAGGATTTCGATTAACTTTAAGAATTATTTAATTTTTAATTTTACAAAAGAACACTTTAATTTAAACATATAATTTGTAATAATTTACCGTTGCATCCGCCGTCGCTGGCCTTCCACCCTCCCGATGCCATGGTGGTACGGACGGTGTCAGTAGCACCTCCGAATTTCTCGATATTGGTATCGACGTACCGTCCGTATTTATAGAATGGTATTTCTAGGTTACTGAAGCCGTTGGTGGCTCGCAACCTCGTCAGCCTGCCTGTCCCTTTTTTTCTGCTCCTTGGTACTTAGGATTCCGTCGACCATCCTTCCAAAGTTCTCTGCCTGAGTCTGCGCCTTGTGAAGCAGCCTGACCCTTGTACGCAGGTCAGCGAGAAGGTCCTCCAGAGTGGGGCCGCATAGAATATCTTGGATGAGTTCTATCGCAAGTAGTCTGCCTATCTAACGTACCCAAGCAAATTTAAGCATTGCCAACAAAAATCGATTCAGAGCGGAGTTCGGTTAATAGTATTAATCAAGAGCGTCTTCGAGTCAATTCCATGGGGGGGGGGGGGGGCGCGAATAATTTGTACTCTTAAATAGTACCGCTTTCGTCAACAAAAATTTAAAACCTATATGTCTGATGTCAATTTCAACTTATATTAATTTATATATAACTACTATTTCATTAACAAACTTAGGTTTTACTATCATTATGCCTAGGTATCCATTTATCTTTTCGTAAATCTATTACATCATAAATCTAATTCTTGGTGAAATTTTCGATTCCATTTCTTTGGAAGCCAAATGTTTTATCAAAAGTCTCGTTTAAGTTATAGGACCGAAAAAATATAAAATAATAATTTCAAGTTTTTTCTAGGCCTCTATTAAAAGTACATTTAATAAGAAGTTATATTTACCCGTTCCAATTCTTTTCCAACAGTCGTTAACAAATTACATAAACATTCAAGTGGTTCTTCTACATGTTTAATGACTAAGTTCACAATGCAGTACAATATATTAATTGAACTGAGAATATTTTGTTTAAACAAGTCACCAATGAATCTAATCAATTTTGTTTAAATTATTCTTTTTAGAATTAAAATAAATTTATATATTTATATAATTCATATAGATACAAGATCTAATTACAATAAAAATTGTTTATCTTATTATTCAGTTAAAAGTTAAATTCACATTACTTTTTTATTCACAAAAAGATCAATATTGTAATATTGTACCTATTAGCTAGCTATACTTATTTAACGAATAATTGGTGCATTTGTTACTAATTGATTACTTTCTTAAATTAATTTTAGGAACCTTAAAACTAATCAAACATAATAATTTAAGACATTCAATTAAATTATTAAGAAATTTATGTAAGAAGAATAAATCTAATTTTTTCCTTCTTATTTCAAAAGTATTTAAATTTAATATACTGAGTAATGGCTCATAAGATGTATGTGCCTCTCTATTAGGGTGTTACTTATTTTCAATTTTAAAATATATTTGTTCTCACCTTCTATATAAGTGTGTATATATATAAAAATGAACTTCAACATTTTTTAGGTGAATGAGATTAAATTAACCCATGTCAAATTGAACTTAAGCTTGAATTTGATACACTTTTTATTATTTACAAAAATTGTCAACATTTTGTAAATATTTCGTTAACTGTTAGAAATATCGACATTTTTAATCTTAAATATTTTAAAGTAAATTAAATTTCACATAACATTAATAGAAATTGTTTGTTTCATATCTTATACCATTCATAAATTACATTGACTTGATTCTATAAAATCATAATTTTCATATTTTTTCATAGTTATTAATAATAAATAATAATATTGGTTAATTATGTTTATAATTTAACATAAATCTATTTAAAATTATATTTGTTTCTTAAAAAATATATATTTTTATCATAAAAATAAAAAAAAATACTTTAATATAATACTAATATAGTATAGATAATGTTATAGTGAATTTTTTTTATAATCTGGATACATTTTCTGATGTTCCTGTACAAATTTTAATATAAATTGTTTTTGATCTTAGTTTAATGTTAATGTTGCATTGTATTCTTCCATCAGTTTAACTGCTCGTTCTGCAGTATCATTTTCTAATTTTAGTGAATTAATAAGGCTTGCATTCGATTTCCAAGATGTTTGAACATTTATTAAAAATTTGTTATCAATATTAAATCGAAAAAATAATTTTAAGCTACCTTGTGAAATAAATGTGTCAATATTTGTTTCTGTAAAAAATGAAATTTATTGTTTATGTTTCATTTTATAAATTATTAATTTTTTTTAAATATATATTATATAAACTGGGTTTATTCTTTACCTATAAATTGATTATCTATTTGGTTAGGTTGAATCATCATTTGTTTTGTCGGATTTTGTATTTTTTTTTTCAAGGCTTCTGCCATCTAAAACTTTACTTCTAATGGTATAAAATCATCAAAAAAAAAAAAATAGTGCTGCAGTTTATTCATTTAAATACTATAAATGATTAGTTGATTTTTGATTGATACTGTAGATATGTCTCTATGCAATTCTTCATATAATTTCAAATCTTTTAGAAATTGTAAATCTTGATTTGGAGATTTATTCAGCAGTTGGTAATTAAACCAAGCTTTAACATAAAATTTAATAATGAATAGCAAGGCTTGATGGCCCTTGTAGTATTTTAATTTCATAAACAGATCTTTAAGTACTTTTTGTTCTATTATATTATATGCTCCATTTAAGCATTCTGTATTGGACACAGTTGTATCACAACACAAAGCTTGAACAATAACAAATAATTCCCTCTTGTAATACATTACACATAGTTAGAGCCTGTTCTTCGTCTGTTGATTGTTTCAAGTTGTGGAATGTTTAAAATTTGTTCTATTTTAACTTGTCATCACAATTGTAAGTCGTTTAACAGTTGTATTTTTAACTTTAGTATCTGGTAATAATTATATTTGTATTATGATTATTATAATTGAAAGAAAAAGTCCTATGGGAATTATATAAAATCGTTTTAGCCAATATTATTATTTATTATTAATACCTATGAAAAAATACAAAGATTGTGATTTGATAAAATCAAGTCAATATAATTTATGAACAGTATGAGATATGAAAAAAAAAAATTTATATAAAAGTTATAAGAAATTTAGTTTACTTTAAAATATTTAAGATAAAAAAATGTTGATATTTCTGAAGGAACCAATATTTAGTAGGTATGAATAAATATATAAATATAATATAATATAAATATACATAAAAATAAATTTAGATTTACCTTATCNTACTTATGAAATGTTGAAAATTTTCATAAATAATGAAAAATGTATCAAATTCAAACTTAAGTTCAATTCGGTAAAGGTGAAATTCATCCGATTCACCTAAAAAATTTTGTAGCTAATTTTTGTACACATACACACCCATATAGAAGGTGCACAAAACATATATTTTTTTTTTTCATCACCAGAGTTATATTCAAGACATAATCAGACTAGTAAACAGAATAGTGATTTTAAGGTAATAATATTTGTAAAATTTCAGCAGTAACATATTATAAAACCTAACTATTTTGATGCTTTATTTATTATTTTAGAGATGATTCCTAGATCTGTTAATCTTAATAAATCTAATAAATTATGTATTTTATTTATTTTACTGGCAGTTCCATACCGAACGCTTGTGTAATCTTCTTTCATTTTCTTCAAACTCTAGTTTGTAATACTTTTGTCTTTTCCTAGAATGGTTTAATTTATTAAATAAAAGTATGCATTAATTGGTAAGTTAGAACAATTATTAAATTACTGGGTCTGTGCAAGAATTTATTCCTGAAAGTTTTATAATAGAATCCATTTCTTGTGCCTTTTCTGATTCAAATAAGCGCAGACATTTACTGATAATTAGTTTCTTAAATATTGTCTTATTCCTATCTTTTCCAGAACTTACTTGCACAGATTTCATAGCCGAGCAAAGAGCCACATAATGAGGTGAAAACATTGTTCTTTAATTGCCTATAATGTAAGATAAAAAATCAACAAAATAAACAACAAGTTAATGAGTAATAATTTAGAGATATTTTATTCATTGCTTATAAATCACCTTTTCAAAAATTAAATCAACTATTTTCTTTAGTAGTTCAACAATATCAATTGGTTAATGCACTAAAATGTTCAGCTAAAGTAATAATGTTATCACTTGTAATTTTATTTAAAATTGATGCGACATTTGTACAGAATTCCTGAAATTAATATAACAAAAACTGACATTAATAGCATATATAATTTATAATAGGGTATGTATAGGTTATGATATTAGATAAATACCAATTACTTGTATAGTTAAGTAGTTTAACACATGAATAATAAAACCTGTACATTTTTCAATACCTTTAAAATTTTATATGATTATTTTAATTTTATTCAACAAGTCAAAACCCTACATAATGCTATATAGAATTTAATTTTAATAATCTGATTATTAGCACACAGAAGTTAATAAAACTAAGGTGTGATACAAATAGATAATGAATAAACTAAACCAATAAATCATTTATATTTCTTCATTAGTTTTTAATTCCTCTGATATTTTATTTTTATGCACATAAACTTAGGTAGTTTTTTTGCTACTTTTGGTACTTTTGATCTGATGATTTTGTAATATCAGCTTTTCAATTCCTTGAGTTCCTTTTAACAAATAAGATCATTTCTGAGTTGAGTAAAATAAATTCTCTCATCAGTTTGATTTATAACACTCGATTGGCTTAGAAGTAAAACATTTTATATGAATACCTTAATTATGATTAAATTAATATGGTTAATCAGAAAATTTAAATTATAACAATTAAAAGATAAAAATAGAAAGATAAGATAATGGAAACGGGTACAGCCACTAGTGTAGATGGAAAGTTGGGAAGGTAAGATACAAACAGGAATTTAATGTATATCTATAAGCAACAATTCACTTTATTACACCACGTTTTATTGCTTCCAAAAAAAACGATTCTGAGCGGAGTTAAGTTAATAGTAATGCATTGTCAACAATATATATGTCATTTTATAGTAAAATAATTAAATAGGCTTTATATATTTTCTTAAGTAAAATGTATTAAATGTTGTACCAATTTTCCCAGTTTTCTTATGATTTTCCTATTTTAAATTTGTTTAAACTATTTTAACATTAACTCCAACAATATCAATTTTTATTATTTTATATTACAGAATATTGTAATAATATTTTAGTTATATACTTAACAAGTAACATTATTATTTATAAAATCATTGTAAACTAAATTAAAATTATAAAATAGAGTAATTTTATAACTCATTTTCTCTGCCACAAACTACGATTAATGTACTAATCATTTAATACATTTGTGAGTTTACATTTTACATAGTTTTTGGGTTTTCTTAATTATTATGAAAACTGATTGGAAAATTAAAAAATGCACCAACAAAATACGAAATTCAAAAAAAGGATCTTGTCATTTTTCAATTGGAGCAAGATTTCTGGTCAAAAAGTAATACACCATAATAAAACCGATAGATTCCTCGCTACGCTTCAAATCCGAAACAACAAATATTATAATCTCAATGAATTCTTGAACAGATTGACTAGCGTATGTCAGCTGTCGGGTCCAAATATTTAAATATTTAAGTGTACTTCAATAAAATACATACCATCTCGAGTAAAATGTGTGGGTATAAAAAAAAGAATTCATATTTCATTTGTACCTTTTTTTTTTTTTTTGGACTCTCCATCATACACGTTAATATTCAATTTCAAAATTTATTTTATTAAAATAATTATATTTTGATGGTGAGCTTGAAAACAGGATAGATAGCAAAGCTAAGCAAGTTTCTCAAATACGCTAACTCATTAAACTAACGTTCTCTTCTTCTCCTTCACCTTCATCTCAAATATTTATTAAACAGTTAGTTATTTATTATAAATAAAAATATAAAAGCAATTTAAAAATGTATTTACATTTTATTTTGATAATTTTATAAGGTTACTTCCCTACTGAAAATTAGAAAATAACTACATACTTTTAGATTCTGAGCAGAGTGAAGACCATATTGGTTTTATACATGTATATTTTCTTTTAAATTTTTTTTTTTCTGCGACTATCAGCAACTATTAGAAATCTTGTTCCAATCAAAAAATTAAAAGAAATTTCTTTTTGTTTTATTTTGATCCAAAATTAGTTAAATGTAGTTAGTACATAGAGGAGGTATTTTTTAATTTTCTAAACAGTTTTCATTACAATTGGGAAAAAATGTAGAAAATATGGGAAAAGCTTACAGCATTATTGGTTTTGATATTTTCAAATTNCTATCTTAGGGGGTGCATTCATAAAAGTTCAACCATGATCCATTTAAGAGCTGCCATAATATACATTAAAACCACCTTCTTATAACGGACACTCTATAAGGTAGAAAAACCATGATTTATAACAATTGTTTTATAAAAAAGTAGTTATTATCACCTGTTGTACTTTGAAGATTCAGTTGAAAGAGTAGTAACCCCAGATGATGCAGTTAATATATCATGTTGAATCGATAGATTTCTATTACAAAGATATAATATAGGAGCATAATAATTATAAATTATTACTTCTTTTTCTACTTCGCCTTTATTCCAACTATTTAGGGTCTGTCACCATTGTCCAATATTTCCACTTGACTCGATCCCACATGTCATCCTTGCATACACATGCCATTCACACATCATTCCAACTACATCGTTTTTGGTCTTTCTCTCCTCTCCTTTCCATCAACTTTTATTTTCATCATAATTCTTACAGCTTCCGTTTCCTCTCTTCTCATGACATACCAAGACTATTTGAGTTTATTTTCTCTCATTTTGTCTACTATAGAAGCCACACCTAAGCTACCTCTTATGTACTTATTCCTTAATCTATCTTCTTTCGTCACTCCATTTATCAATTTATGCATTCTTATTTCTGCTACACTAATTTTCTGTTCTATTTTCCCATCTACTACCCAACACTCTAAACCATACAACATAGCTGGTATTACCACACTCTTGTATAACTTACCTTTAAATCTCATTGAAATCATACTTAATTCTATGTTTCACATCTTCATCAAAGCCACCATTCTTTTTTAAAAAAAGATCTTAATACTTAAAACTCTTAATCTTACCTATCACTACTTATTGTCATTAGCTGTCTTGTCCTGTTCCTTCAAAATCAAACTATATAAACTCTGTTTTACATAAATTTATCCTTAATCCCTTTCCTTTAAGTGTTACTCTCCATTCCTAAAGTTTATTATTAACTTCTTCCAAATTTTCTCTTATCAAAACTATAAAATCTGTAAATATTATGCACCATGATACCTCACATCGCCTTGTATTTCCTTTATAACTTCGTCCATTACAACAGAAATAATAAATTATAAATTGTTATAAAAATAAAATAGGTAATACATTTCTTTAATTATTACCTGTACTTCACTGAATCAGGAATGTTCGGTTTTGTCCTTAGAATATTCTGTTCTTCTACTCCAGCGTGTATCATCTTAAAAGGAGTCTTTTGTTGATACTAAAAAGTTGATACTTTCCGAGATAATGAATGCACCGACTTAAACAGAACACCCTGACTTAATGACTTAGGGTCATTTACTAACAATAAGAAAAAAAAATTAAAATTGTACAAATTCAAATATTAAATATAACCGAAGATCTTAATGAACGCGATTACGACGGTTTTTTAATTTTGATATCATCCGCTTAGAGAAGTGCAGCGTGATTTTGGATACGGGGCCTTTTCTGCGTATGACATTCATTAGTTTGTTTTTGGTTACCGTCACCAATAGTTCCACGGTTTCGGTGTCCATGAACGGAGTAGGAGTTGTGATCGCGTACAATGCTTCGGTGTTATGAAATCCGACATTCCGGGCCGTCATTACTTTTTCCGACCGAGAACGTTGCATTCGCGACTGAGAGACTCTCTTCGGTCTGTTTTTTCGTTTAATCGTGCGTCTGGCAACGTTCATGAATGACGTCTGTTGTTGGTTTCTTTCACTGATGTCGTGCCGTTCCGCTCGTGGCGAGAGAGACCTCTCCGAGTCAGCATCCTCAGTATTCAATGTATTTCTATTAGGGATTTCCATGATGTGCGCAGTTTCGTTTAATTAAACTTGATTTGCGATTAATTAAAAAGTACGGAAGTTCGTATACTTAGAAAAAATTTTCGAAATTATGTAGACGTCTGCACACACCGGGATCTAAACGCACAATGACTAATAGTCAATACACACAAGAACGGCTCGAATAGATATTGTTTATTTTTCATCTGTTTTAAATACCACGGTGATACAACAAACCGTGTCGTACCGTAGTGAACCGCGCTTTCCTTATTTTAATATTGTGCCACTTATAAATTATGAAATTATTACCATAGATCGATCGATAATACACGCGCATTTCGCATTACCACCGACTCAAGCAGCCCTCCCGTAGCCGTAACCCGAAANTACGAAAATATTATATATTAGGAGACAGACAATTGAGACAATTTTAATTTGGTCGCATGAGTGTTATTGCTATAATTTTTTGATACATAAAATTATAATTATTATACAATACTCACTAGTGTTTGATCATTTACGTATTGAATTCTTGTTTCTTTTCATCTTCGACTTTTAGAAAAAGGTAGCAGATCCTAAACAGGTATCCTTGATATTATGTGACACACTTAGAAAAAAAATATTAGCAAATCACTATTTACTTAAAACTAATTTTGATTGGCATGAACTATTGTTCATCATGGTGTTCTCGGTTATATAAATTACCAATAAACTAGTGAGCAGTGTGAACTATTGCTTATTGGTTTGGCCGGTGTAAACCAACAATTTTTTATGAACCCACATTACACATAGCCCCTAACACCGTATAAAATTTGTCCGTAGGTACGACGAAAAGTGGGATGCTAGACGGGTTCTTTGAAGTGACCAGACCACGGGTGTAGTAGGTACAACGTCACGACGGGAAATGGAAAACTCCTACAAAAGTTAGCAATCTTCTACATTTACATAGTGTTAACTTCTACAAAAAATAGATTTTTTTAATTTAGTAAAATTAGTAAATAGTCGGGAATAATAAATTTATTCAATTTGTTCTGCAATTATTGGTATGGATGCTATAAGCCTTTTATTTCTGAGTGGCGGAAAAAAGAGGAAAATATTGTTATATTTGCATATATTCCATGTACGTATCGNCACGACGGGAAATGGAAAACTCCTACAAAAGTTAGCAATCTTCTACATTTACATAGTGTTAACTTCTACAAAAGATAGATTTTTTTAATTTAGTAAAATTAGTAAATAGTCAGGAATAATAAATTTATTCAAGTTCTGCAATTATTGGTATGGATGCTATAAGCCTTTTATTTCTGAGTGGCGGAAAAAAGAGGAAGATATTGTTATATTTCCATATATTCCATGTACGTATCGAAATGTTCGAGAATTTCCGATACGATGCGATACGATAAGATTATATTAATATGTTTACTAAATTGTACTTTTGTTATTATTTTAAATGATGATTTTAATATATTATCTTTAAAATAATGAAAACATATAATATATACAAACTAAAAGGACCTACCGTAGTAGGTATGTAAGAAATGTTGCAATATGAAATAAGCCATTACCTAACCCAAACATAAAAATATAGAAAGGTCTGGGTAGGAGATTACACCATCTATTTTGGGCAGGTTAAAAGGGACTATGTAGGAGTTTACACTATGTTTTAAGTTCAGATAAAAATATAATTTTTGTACGAATTTACATGTATTATATACAAATTAAGCGTACAACGGGTTTGCAAGCAACGCACTTTAATGCGGCTGTGTAGTTACACAACCGATTTTGATAAGATTATGCTCATGTGTGTGATTTGGTCCAACTTAAATATAGGATAGTTTTCATCCCGATTAAGTAACCCATTGTTTCTTAAAATACGGTTTTAAAGTATTTTTAGTACAAAAATCGAATTATTTTTGTTAATTTATGATACGTTTTCTTGGTAACAAAGATGAAGAAAATAAACTGTAATAATATGTATATAAAGACGGACATACTTTTCCCGTAGGTGAGAAGTTGGGAAGGTACAGGGGAAATTTATTATGTATCTTGTACCCAAATATTGACCATTACTAAAGTACTCAAATAGTACAGTAAAAAATACTATTTCATTAAATTTAGGGGCTTCAATATATTTTCATATCTTATTTATTTATAAAAATCAGACACGCAGAAACGCATGACCAGTACAGTTAGTAGTATATATAGTTAATACTTAATAAGTATATCAAATAAATTGACGCAGTTTATATAATCTTAAATTTTCTTTTGCCACAGTTTACATATCGACTTTAAAAAAAAGAAATATTTTACCGCAGTTTACACATAGCCTAACCACGTATAAACTGTCCCCATTTATCCGCAGTCTTTACATTTTGTCCACCATTATTTTATATATTCATTTTACTCGAATCAGAATAAAATGAATTACTAAAATACCAATAATTAAATAGCCATATTTATTAATAGTAGTTAACCACTATAAACATTTGAAATCGAAATGAATCAACAAGAATCAAATAACTCGTTACTACTTATAACAACGTCAATAGTGTATATTAAAAATACAAAAACATAATATAATTATAATTTGTAATATAACACAGATTAATGGATTCAAAATTGATGAATATTCTCAATATTAATAACGATGAGACACCGATCGCCGATGAGATTAAGGTTCAAAAACAACGGGAAAAAAAGAAAAATTCAACGCGCCCCACGTGTTCTTCACGTATATATTATATTTAAAATAAATTACTTTATGTACCTTTCCATTTACCACCTATTTATTATTGTATTTAATATGTTGGCTTAAAAATAAAATATGATATTCAAATACCATGTGTTATGTATTATAAATATTTGATACTTAGTTCTATACTTATATCATAAATACGGTACAAAATGTTGTCCTACTCATAACATAAACTGAGGACCTAGCAGTGTTAAGTCACACAAACATTTTTATTTCGGTACGTGTTAGATTAGAATATTTAATAATTTGGTTACCATCCAACTAGAGCTGGCAGTATTTTCAGTATACCGGTGAATCACTGGTATTTTCAAATATTTTCAAATACCAGTATACTACTGTTTCAGTAACCACCATTTGATCTACTGCAGAATATTTTCAATTATTTTTTGTACTATGGTAACCTGATAACCACACACATGGTTTATATAATTTATAGTATTTACTAATTTTACAGTATTTACTGAAAAATAATGATAAATCAAAAAATAAAACTGGTATGTCAACACAAACCAAATACCGGTGAACTAACATACCACAAACTCTACAAACAACACAAAGCACACATGTAGAAAATTATTCATTATTTAAATAATAATGCTTGTTATGATTCACATAACTGTTTAGTTGAGAGTCTATCTTTTTAGTGTGGTTGCTGTTGATCCATACAGGTGCGCAATACTCCGCAACTGAATACACTAATGCAATTGAAGATGTTTTTAGTGTAAATGAATCAGTACCCTAATCTATGCCTGCTAGTTTTTAGATTATATTATTTCTTGCGCAAATCTTAGCCATNATAATACTTATATAAAAGTACTAAAATATGAGTTAATATATATATTAATAATAATTTTGTACGAGAATAATGTAAAAACAACAAACCTATTTGGAGACCAATTGAGAAATATGATATAAAAGGTATTATACATGAAATCCATTGATTAAAACATCACATCAACACTTGTTGATAAAATTTATCTTTGTTTAATTGTTTAATATTAACGTGTAAGAATGTTTGAACCAATGCATTTGTAAGTATTACATACAAAATTAGATATATGACCTTAATTTAAAATGAAATGAATATTTATACTCATAATACCATATAATAGATGACCTAATTGATTAATTTCACATATAATATTTTTTTTCATGTTTGGGTAATACAATTTATATAAATATAGAAATTAATATCAAATTCTATTATTATATAGAATATTTATGTAGACAAATATCTAAAAACAATAATCTATTTTGTGACCTTTTAGGAAATATGGGTACAATTGTCTTATAATCTGATTATACTAATTTATTAAGACATCAATAAATAGATCAATTTTCTAATACTTTAACTAATTAAAATTGAAATAGTTAAAGTATACATTTAAGACTTTCATAATAAGTTGACATAAGGTTTTATTGAATTGCAAATATTATAGAATGAACATAAAATAGCTAATAGTGTATTTTTCTTTATAATGATATATGATACTAAATTATATTTCTCTAGTAAATGGAAATACTATAACGCGTAAGTTGATTAATAAACATAGAAAAATATTTATACTTTTCAATAATACAAGAAATATTATATCAACATAATCCTTATTTAGAAATCTGGTATAATATAAACATATAAAAATGATTGTACCCATACATTTTTAACTAATAAATATTATATTGGATCTTTGATCTTCATTTCCAAATTAATAAATAAATGAAGAGCTATACACATAATACTATACAAGAGATGTTATAATGAATGTATTTCATATATAATAATTAAAAACCAGTAAAACAATACTTGTTTATAAGTATTAACTAGTATTATTATATTTACAACCAATAATATGATTATACTGAAAATATGACATACTAGACTTAATTACTTTAAAAATTTAGTTTGAATACATCTCATTAAACTTGGTTTAATGAGATGTATTCCAGTTACCAATTTGTAGATACCAAGTATATGGAAAAAGGTTAATTACAATGTCCTTAATTCATATTAATCCCTTTTTAAGAAGTTTGTACTCATGTTTCTCAAATGGTCTCCAATTGAGTTAGTGTTTTTAGATTATTTTCCTATATAAATATTATATATACATTGATAATTTTACGAATATTTTTAAACATATTTCAGGACACAGACAATTGAGACAATTTTAATTTGGTCGCATGAGTGTTATTGCTATAATTTTTTGATACATAAAATTATAATTATTATACAATACTCACTAGTGTTTGATCATTTACGTATTGAATTCTTGTTTGTTTTCATCTTAGATATCACCTGAGAGTCCTTTTCACTTTTGGTGTCTGTTATTATCCATTAAAAATTAAATAAATAAATGACTTTTTATATACATAATACTTATGAATCAGTTAAACAATAAGAGTTAATAATTATTAGCTTTTATATAGTATATATTATAATACTTATATAAAAGTACTAAAATATGAGTTAATATATATATTAATAATAATTTTGTACGAGAATAATGTAAAAACAACAAACCTATTTGGAGACCAATTGAGAAATATGATATAAAAGGTATTATACATGAAATCCATTGATTAAAACATCACATCAACACTTGTTGATAAAATTTATCTTTGTTTAATTGTTTAATATTAACGTGTAAGAATGTTTGAACCAATGCATTTGTAAGTATTACATACAAAATTAGATATATGACCTTAATTTAAAATGAAATGAATATTTATACTCATAATACCATATAATAGATGACCTAATTGATTAATTTCACATATAATATTTTTTTTCATGTTTGGGTAATACAATTTATATAAATATAGAAATTAATATCAAATTCTATTATTATATAGAATATTTATGTAGAAAAATATCTAAAAACAATAATCTATTTAGTGACCTTTTAGGAAATATGGGTACAATTGTCTTATAATCTGATTATACTAATTTATTAAGACATCAATATATAGATCAATTTTCTAATACTTTAACTAATTAAAATTGAAATAGTTAAAGTATAAATTTAAGACTTTCATAATAAGTTTACATAAGGTTTTATTGAATTGCAAATATTATAGAATGAACATAAAATAGCTAATAGTGTATTTTTCTTTATAATGATATATGATATTAAATTCTTTTTTTCTAGTAAATGGAAATACTAAAACGTGTAAGTTGATTAATAAACATAGAAAAAATATTTATACTTCTCAATAATACAAGATATATTATATCAACATAATCCTTATTTAGAAATCTAGTATAATATAAACATACAAAAATGATTGTACCCATACATTTTAAACTAATAAATATTATATTGGATCTTTGATCTTCATTTCCAAATTAATACATAAATGAAAAGTTCTACACATAATACTATACAAGAGATGTTATAATTAATGTATTTCATATATAATAATTGAAAACCAGTAAAACAATACTTGTTTATAATTATTAACTAGTATTATTACATTTACATCAAATAATATGATTATACTGTAATAATGACTTACTTGACTTAATTTCTTTAAAAATATAGTTTGAATACATCTCATTAAACATATTCCACTTACCAATTTATAAATACTAAGTATATTGTAAAATGCTGATTACAATGTACTNCTATAATTTTAGAGTCCAGAAATATTTATTTATTGAAATCATGTATTAGATCAATGAATTTATGGTGATTGTCTTAATTTCCTGTAAAAAATTAGTTTGAATACATCTTAATAAACATGTTCTAGGTACCAATATTTGTAGATATTAATTATATAGTTAATTGCAGATAAATTGATATGACACATAAATATATACACATTAAAAACAATAAGAAATTATGAAAGTATAATAATATCATTGAAAACCAATATACCTGTGTAGATAAATATTTTTTTGTATAAAAGGTACATTTAACCAGTGTTATTCTCCAAATATATATAATATTTATTTATATGAACAAATATATATATATATATATATATAAATATTGATATCTATATTTTATTTGAGAATATGAGTACAATATTCTTTAAATATGATTACACGAATTTAGGACATTAATACAAATCATTTTCACAATAATTTAACTAATATATATATTTGATTTTAAAAAGGCATAATTTTAGAATTTTCATAATTAATTGACGATTATAAAATTTGATATTACTTTTTTTGTCATAAAAATTGTATTACTTAAAAGCCGAAGTAAGTTCATATATAAAATAAATTAATTTATCCNTATATATATATATAAATATGATATCTATATTTTATTTGAGAATAAGAATACAATATTCTTTCAATATGATTACACAAATTTAGTTCACAATAATTTAACTAATATATATTTGATTTTAAAAAGGCACAATTTTGGAATTTTCATAATTAATTGACAATTATAAAATTCATATTACTTATTTTGTCATGAAAATTGTATTACTTAAAAGCCGAAGTAAGTTCATATATAAAATTAATGAATTTACCCATACTTTTCTTAGCTGTACATTTAGGATTGTACCTATGATCTTCATTTAAAATCGAAAGGATACTATTTAGAATTATGTTGATAAAATATTTCCTTCCGTTGTAAGAAGTACTGACATTTTTCAATATTTATAAATCAACTAAACTAACCCTTTTCAGAATACAAATTTATTGAGAAAAAATATTAATTTCATACTTCATTATAAAGGAATATATACTTATGGCTATTTTTTGTTCATTCTAAAATAATTTTTTGATTGGCATCAGTACAATGTTTTGTTTTCTTAAATTTAAAAATCT